GATTTATCATCATGTTGTATGGAGACTCCAGTTCAAGATATCTTAAATGTATCTTTGGATATGAGATTCACTATATAAGATTTAATTAATGCAAATTGAAGACTTTTTCATGTTCTGTAAATTGTATAATTATATAATGTTCTGTAAATTGACTGACAGTGAGTGACTCAAGTCTGCAATGTTTGCATCTGTTTAATCAGATGTCATGTTATAAACCTCTGTATAACCATGTTAATATTTTTGTAGTACAAATACAGTACAAGTTTTTCTTATTTTATCAAATTTTGAACATTTTTGTTTCGGGCAGGTAACTTTTCATGTCGGGCAGGTGACATTTGTTGTCAAAAAAAAAAAAAATCTTGTCGAACCCTGATGATGACGTTTACAAGTTGTTCTGGTGCGAGCTCTTATCCACCCTAAGGGTTAATCATCTGACAATTGACCCTTTTAAAAAAACAGAGCATTAGACATATGTACTAGCTCAGGTTAGTGAAATGTGAAAGCTAACAGGCTAAACCGACGCTAAACAGTATTTTGTTTTACAGTTTAAAGTGGACACYWRCTGCTTTTAGATCCTTCTTTTTCACATTCAAATCATTCAGTTGGGTCTATATAAAGTGAAACTTCAATGCTTTGGTCTGAATTCCTCCTAAMTGTAACTCCACAAGCCCCTCTTTCACCTCTTTTCTSAGGTGTGTCTCAGATCAACTCGTTTTGAGGCTGTTCCAAACAGAATATAAAGATATCTATGCAGCACCACGAGAGACTAAATTAAACMTTTAACTCCTAAAGWCTTAACAACACACACAACAAAATGTATTTAATGGCTAAAAAAGTGGATTATGCATGACATGTCCCTTTAAATCTAATATTTCAACTAGTCAGAGTTCAACAGCTTCAAACAAATATATGGAACTTTCTATAATTCAGSTTCTAAAATAAAAAGAGTGATGTTACTATTAACAAAGCAAAGTGTCAGGTTCTTGTAGGATCTGTGTGGAGTGTCTGAATCGGTGCATGACCCACCCTGCAGCGCTTTGAAGCCCTGTAGGGGGACCCGGGTGGAGCCCGTCACAAACTGCAGGAGGCGCCCTCTCCTCTCCTCGCTGAAGTCCTCCACAACCTGCCAGAACCACCGGACCACGCTGCTTTCACTTGTGCAGTGCTTCAGGCGGGTGTTGGCCTTCCAGTCTGCGAGGTCAATCTTTCCCAGCCCGCCGATGATCAACTGGACAGATTCACACAGAGGGAAAAATCAGGATGTAAGTGATCCAATGTAAAGATGAAGAATTAAAACGTAAAAAGGCAACTGACAAGAACAGAGGTATCATGTTTACTCTTTACAAGCACTGAATTAATCCTTTACAGTAGGTTGCAAAAGTAAAGAAAAATCTTTTGGTAATCTTTCTATKATGGTGCCTGGACTTCAGTTCAATTTTTAATTTCATTACAGATGGAGAATATAAAAAAAACCCACATTAATGCAGTTAAACAGAATAATAAACTGTTAGCTCCTCAAAGGAGCTTGTGTTGGTTTGATTGTTTGTTTGTCCATCTTTGCTTATGTTTACTCAAATAGTTGTGGACAGATTTTCATGAAATTTGCAGGTCATGCTGAGAAACTGCTGTGCTGCATTACTTGAGCAGGAGTCTCTGAGTGCTAACCCTGCCAACCGTAAGTAACTTTAGTAAATGAAGAACAAACATGTTTTAACAAGAAATGCACCAGACACACACACACACACACAC